ACATCAATATCTCGTTAGCAACTGATCAATAATGCATTAATAAATGATCAATGAAAGGACTGTTGAAGAATATACAGAGAAAAAGTGAACCACCTCCTCGTATCCTACAGACGGTGTCAGACAGAAGTGATGGGCGAAACTCTCTATAACATAATAGAGCTTCGCAGGCATTTCGATAGTTTAGTCTATCTAACAATCAAGCATAATAAGACCAACATCTGTAGGGTACTCCTTAACAAAGCGAACAGATTAATCAGGTTTCATATTTTAATCCTCTAGGGATTAAGTTGATAGTTTTTCGATAAAATATTAGGATAAGGGTCTCATGATGCATTTTCCATCGAAACATGATTTTTCCTATGAATCTTTTTGTTGAGTGCTGAAAGTTAATATTTTTATGAAAAAAAATCGTTTTTGATAGAAAATAAACGATATCCACGTATCCTATAGAACCTGCCTACTGTATCATATACTTCAACAGCTCTTTTTAAATTTTGTTTCACAAAACATGTAATATTAACTTTCTTACCTGAACCCAACTAAATCCAAAATCATAATAAATAAATCCATTTTGTGCTGGTGCTGGTACCCAAAATCGATCTCTTACACGTTTTGTCGATGGTGTCAATGAAGCATTTTGACGAATTTTATATATTGTATTTGGAGGTAATTTCGTATCATTTAAATGAACATTAGTAAAAACTACACTAGCTATAACAGTATAATTGTCATGATATGCTCGATGAAGAAAATATTCTACTAAATCATTTTCATCAGCAAATCCTTTAAATACATTTAAATTAATTCCTGATATAAGACTTATCCAACTGCAAGCTGCTTTGTCAATTGTTGTTATTTGTTTCATATAATTATCAATTGATGGATCACTTAAATTTTTAAGTATTTGAACAAGTTTATTCATTGATGATAAATGTAATAAAGGACCGAATTCTTCAACAAATTTTTTCATCTAAATAAAATATTTGTGATTAATAAAAAACTACTTCAAGTTTTTTTTTTATTCTTTGTTTATTACTCGTCTTAGAGAATCAACTTTTTTTTCTGTACCATTAGCAAGAAAATATGTTTTAAGAACATTTGATACATTTCTCCATTCATATGCATATTTAGTTATTGTATCAAGTAAAATAAATGTTGAATTAGCTTTTGATATAACACCATCAATTAATGTCGAATTTGGTGCATATAAAACTAAGGAATTTCCATAAAGAACATAAAATAACAGACCTAATTGTCGTTGTTGATTGTCTGATATTCCTAATTCAGCTGAAAACAAATTGATGAAAAACTAAATTAATTTATTTTTATTATAAAAATTAGAAAACATACCTAAATCCGGTAAATGATCATCACCTATTGGTTGATCTGAATCAAAATTTGTTTTAGGTTTAACACCACAAATAGCTTCTTGCATTCCAAGCCATAATGGAAAGAATCCTTTTTTATTTTTTAATTTATTCATTGCAACGGATTCCTATAAATATACAAATAAAAAAAAAATTAAATATATTACTTACTGTTCATTTTAACATTAAATAGAGAGAATTTCATTCTTCTAGACTATGCCTTTTTTTTGAATATTACTTCAATATATTTTAAAATTATTTACAGATGATTTTAAGAGATTGAAGAAGTTTCAACATATCTTGTGTCATGTTTTTTTTCCTTTGCATATACTCTGACAAAATTTTCTCTAGTTTAAATGCAGCAATCTTCTCTCTTTTTACACTCGTGTTTAGGTTTTTATGAAAGTCGTAAAATTCTGTACAAGTTGCAGTTTCATACATCCATGAAACAAGAGATATGTATGTTTCAAGAGTAGAATTGTCGGGTTCGATGACGACCCTATGGATCATGCTCTAGAAGTAACAGTCAATTATCACTAGATTATTACAAGATCATCGCCGAGATTGTTTGAGAAATATGTAGGATGTCTTAGTCGCAAAATAAAAATCATCGATAAAAAGTTCTTCGTATCTTTGGGGTGATTTTCAGGTTAGGTTCAATATTTTTTGGATCTAACAGGCTCTAATAGAAACTAAATAGTAGCTGTTGAATTCGAAATTATGTTTCTGTACTGAGAAATTCTTCTAGTTGTAGATTAAACAATATATCAGCTCGTACAATCAAACGAATTAATCCAAAACAAAATAATAAAACCAAATCTCAGTTAAAAATTCTCGTTTTTATTTTGCAGTAACAAGATATAGACTAAACTTGAATACGAAAAGAAAAGCTGTTAATGCAATTCCTACGGGATTCATATGAGACATTTGTTGAAACTGCTGACATTATAAATGAAGATATTCACCAGCCAATGTTTCGATTTATGAAACACTGACCATTGTTAATCCATAGGGATGATGAAAGATGTTCGTCATATTATGTTACAGGAAGTTTAAAAGAAAGGCTGAACAGCTATCTAAAATATGGGTGTAAATGTAGGTGAGAATAGACATGGGTGCAGGACGTAAATGTTCAGAGGTGCAAAAATATCTATATCAACACCCACACTTCACACCCTTTAATTTTTTCACCACTGAAAGGTAAATATCCGGAATACTGGTGGACATATAGGGGTGTCAAATCTATAGATACTTTCAATTCAATTTATGCGTAAATTAAATTAACAGGAAAATAACACCCCTATTAGCATCTACTTTACTTTTTTATAGTACTACTATAGAAATTAGAAGGACTAAAAAATAATTTATGAACTGACATTTTTTCTTTTTGATACAGCTGAAAGCTTTTGCTCTTTTACTATACATATCCCGTCTATTTTTTGCATCGACCAATTGCATAGACCCTCTTTTTAGATTACACTTCGTAAAAGTCATTAGATATATTCTTTCTTAGGAATTTAAATATTAAGGCAATATGTATTAAATATTTATCACAGAGATAGATAATAGCTTGTTTCTGTCGTAATAATAAAATCACGTTAGAAAATTTTTTCTTGAAGATTTTAAAATTAATTTAATGTACTTACCACATTGCCAGAGAGAGCTACAGCTGGTGGTGATGGTGCTGATGGGGATGCTTCAGTATTATTTTGTTCATTAATATAACAAGAATTTGTTCGAAGAAGTTTGGCAAGTTCATATAAATCTTTTAAACCTTGTTCAAACATTGCATATTTTTCAAGCTAAGAATCAAAAAAGAAATTATTTTGAAAATAAAATTTCTAATTTTTCTTTCTTACTTGACTAACATAATCATCAAGTTGAAATAACATTGATGATAATTGTACATGTTCTAAGTGTAACTAAACAAATAAATTTTTCATGAATAAAGTTTTTAAAATATTCTAAAAAATAAACAAAATTTACTATGTCAATAAGTTCATCATCTGATATTGAATTCATAAGAATATTTGATAAATTTTGATATTGTTCATTTGTCATATTGCATAAACGTTCTTGTAAATCGGTCTAAATTTAATTGTAATTTATAAAGAAGAAAATAAAATATGTTTTTATACTTTATTAATAGCTGTTGAATTCAATTGAAAAAGTAAATCAAATTTTTCTACTGAACAAAAAACTTCTTTTAATGTTTTTGGATGAAAAACTGTTGTCTAAAATAATATTTGAATGAATATTTAATTTGCATAAAAAAAAAAAAAAATTTATTATTTTACTTTAATCATTTTTGCTAATAAATAAACTTCATCATTAGTTAAATTTACAAATGAATTTATTGAAATAATTTTTCCAATTAATTGTGTTACATTTAAAAATTCTTCTGGTTGAAATGATGTTTGTAAAAGTGAATAATAATAAATGAAATCAAAATTGTCTTCATTATCACTTTGAGAACTCTTTTGTGAATCTCGAAATAAATGTGGAGAAACATTGGGTATCTATTTAAAACAAAAAAATAAAAATTAATTAATTAATTAATTAATTAGTTTCGATTCAATTGAAACAAGTTATGTGGTTAGAAAGAAGAAGAAAACAAATGTTATTCGAGTGTAAAACATTCAAAAAGAACCAGAAAATATATATTATTTATCGTCTTTATCACGGCAAAATTTTCACCTACTGTTAAATCTCTTTTTTTCCGTTGCTGAAAAGAATATATACATATAAATATATAAATTATATTTTTTTTTTTTTTTTGTTTTTTTTTCCTCTAGTTATTTTCTTCTTTACCTGATGAACATCAATAACTGAATTATTTAATAAATGTTCACATTCTTCGTTTGTATAATTAAGTTGTGTAACAAAAAATAAACAAAGTGTCGTTAGATTTTTTGTAAATGAAAAAGTTAAATTTGATAAACTATCATAAACAAATGCAGGACGATCAATTAATGTTTCATACATATCAGGTAAAGAATCAATATCAAACATAGAAAAATTTTGGGTAAAAAACGGATTCGTTCGAGATATTCGATCGATTGTCATTAGCATATCTGTCGATCTAAAACAAAATGAATTTTATTTTTATCTTGAAGTTTAATTAAATGCCAATACATACGTTCCATTTGGAAAAATACTAAAACCTTGTTCATTACTAGGAGCTGTTTTTGGACAAAATGATTGAAGAATTGAAAAAACTCCTGTCGATGGAAATGGTGTTGCACGATACGTATGATCAAGGAAATTTGAAGTGTAATTGGCTAAAGATAGAATAATAGATTTTTTTTTTTTTTTTTTATTTAAATAAATTTAAAATTACTTTGTGGATGAAATGATGCTTGTTGAGTTTTTCGTATCGCAGTCATAACAAGAAAAAGAACCAATGGAATAATAAGTTCGAATACAAGAACGAACTAATTGAATCAATTTTATTAATACATAAAATTATTCTTATTGAAAATAACTTACAGGACTGCGTTTCTTTAAGATGTAATTTTTCCATAGAAGGACTTTCAGTTGATGAAGAAAAAGCATTGTCGATAATAAAATACAATGGCTAGACTATTTCATCTAGAACAAGTAACAAAAAAAGAAAAATATATATTTTATCATTTAAAGACTAAAGAATGTTTGATTAATAGAAGGATTATTAGTTTGTTGATCAATCGATTCAGATTGTGTATGAAGAAATGATTGTAATAAACCTAGACCAGGACGATTATTCAGACCAGATTTAAATTGTGTTACACTACTTTCTACACATTGTTTATAAGTACTAATATAAGAAAGAAAAACCAAACCGAATTAAATATTAATAATGAGGAAAAAAAAAAAAAGGAATATCCGTACGACAAAAGTGATGGATGAATAAATTTTTTTAAATTGTCATTTGCTTCATCAAGTGCATGTAATTCCGAGAAAGATCCTTCACTTTCAGAAAATTCCTTTCAAAATAAAACAAAAACTAATTTTAACAAAACAAAAAAATATAAAATATAATTAGACGAACTTTCATTTGAACAACAAGAGCAACAAGTTTTGTAATCAATTCAAGATTTCCTTCATTTATAACCATTGGTGGAATCTATATAGAAGAGTATAAATCTAATATTAAATGTTTTTCTCGATCTACATACGTTAAGTTTATTAATAAGTTCTTGTGCTAATCGTTGTGATCTATCACATACAAATTTTGTATCATTAAATACGACAAGTAATTGTTCATCAGTTACAATCTTAATTTAAAAAAAACAAGAAGTTTATAAGATAATTTCTTTTTCTAAAATATTACTTCTCGACAGATATTATTTATCTCATCAATAAATTTTGCTAAATATTCATTTAATTTTGCTAACCATTGAACTAAATGTGCATAATCTCGTCGAAAAGCATCACTTAATGGTATATGTCTACTTATCTAAATAATTAACAATAAGAAAAATTAAATTAAAATAAAACAAATTCCAACTTCAAATTCTGCTTGATCGTTCATTTTACGTAAACTTTCAATTGAATCACGTTTAGCACAAAGTATTCGTGATACTCGAATCTAAAAACAAAAAGAAATCATTATTTTCTTTTATAAAAAAAGGAAAAAATAAGTAAAACATACAATAAGATATAACAGCCGGTCAGGTATTTTAGTAATAACATTTGTCTTTCTTGTCATTTCATCTTCGTCTGTTGTTTGAAAATCTTCTTCATCGTTATCACTATTTAAATATTCCTAAAACAAGCTGTCCAAAAAAAAAAAGAACAGAAAAATCCTTTCTTTTTATACTTTATCTTTTTCACCATATTTCATCGTTTTTAACTTATCACCAAGGACAACACGTTCAAGTGATTCTTCAGACTAAAATAAAAACAAGAATTTTTCTTTTCAACATATTTTTCTTTTCAATACCATAACATCATAATCATTGACATTTACCAAACCAATATTCGAATCATCAAATAATATTTTATATAAGTGATTATTATTTTCATCTCGAGAAATAAATTGTCCACGATATAAACCATATTGAGAAGATCGAAAAAGTCGAACTAAATTATTTCATTTTTTTTTCTTTCTTTTGCAAAACAAAAGGAAAACAAACCAATAACACGAGAATCAATTGGTAATGGTGAAATAATTAAAAATGGAAGGTTATTCAGAAAGATTTTTTCTGATTGATAATGTGTTGTGCTTTCATATTGAAGAATACGAAGTAAATTTCGTTGTTTAGATAATTTAATTCTTTCATTTTTAAGATATGCTATTGATAATCTATTAACAAAAAACAAAAAAATATATTATTATTGGTTTATTTCTCGTTTTTTTTTACTACTAATAAAACTTACCTTCGAGGTTTACCAAATCGACGTCGAATTAAATTCCATTGATGTCGAGTAAATTCTAATTTTCTTTTTGAATTATTATTGTTAATAAATTCCGGAAAAAAGTGTTCCATACAATTTTCAAATTCATTTTCCGTAGCAAGTAAACACCTTTAATAGAGAGAGAAAAAATAAATGTTGTCTCGGTTTATGCAGCATAATATAGTCTGACATAAATTATAATAAGCACATAGAAAAGTGAGAGAAGAAAAGGGGAGAAAAACAAAAAATTTTTAATGAGTAAGAGAAGAAAAAAAACGGTAAAATACTCTACCCTTTTTGTCTTGCCGATCTCTTTTGAGAAGAAAGTAATAAACTAAAAGTCACTATTCTGATATTTTTATGATTCGATAAAAAGAAAAAAAAAAAAAAAAGAAAAGAGAGACAAGTGACATTGCATTGTAAAATTTTCTTAACATCCTTGAACATCATCAAGGATTTTTTTGTAAAGCATTTTTGTTAAATGCCCTTGTTGTTTTTTTTTAATTGTCTAAGGACATCTCACACAATTCAATCATTAGATATACTTGTCTGCCGTATGACCTCTTTGACAAGGACAATAGAAAGTGAATGCAATCGTCACTTAGTACGCAGATCATTTTAATAAAATCAACAAATTTAGTTATTTATATCTCCTGTAAATTGATATAATCCTAAAGAAAACATTTACTTTAATCTATCTTATCGAAACATGGCTTGGACTTGAAAATATTAACACAGAAAAAAAAAAAACTCTGTGAATATAAGGTTATGCTGAAAGTAAAATAACCCCTATTGTTCTTAACCGTATATCGGTAAATGTTTACCTCGGAAACCTTTTCCTCGAGCAAAACAAATCAGTTCACCTTGGATTATTTTTATATTTTCTTTCTTTTTCTATAGCAAAATAACCGAAGTGAAAACAAGTATTGCAAAAAACAAAGAGATTATTTTCATTCGTAAATTATGGCAGAGAAAAAGATGAAATTTATAATATTTGATAAAATATTTAAAGAATGAAATAAAAATCACAAAGATTACCAATCAAGATCTGAATAAAACCATTCACAAATCATCCATCGTTGAGCTTTTGCATTTAATAGAAAATGTTTTAAATAATCAACATTTATTTTCTATGAAAATTTCAAATATTTATATTCAAATTTAAACAACAAATGATAAAAAAACTAACCAAAGCAGATCTTGGGGATTTGTTAAATAGTACGTCGGCTGTTGTTGTCATATTTGACTTATCGATAATGAGAAAAAAAATCAGCAGACAAACAGCCATACGTCAATATACACAATCGTTCTGTCGTTTTTTATTGAACTTAATTATAGACCATTCAAATTTTTATTCTTAACCTCCCATAAATTTGATTTCTAATTAAAAATTTTCTTTTCAATAATTGTAATGACTCTCATGTTCTTTAACTTTATCAATAGAAAAACAATTTCTTTTACGATTATTCAACAACATCGATAGTTGCGCTTATTCTTTCTGACTGGTTGAGTAAGAAAATAAAGAGCGAAAATAAGAAAGAACTGTTTAAACAAAGAACAAGGCAATCTAAAAAAAAAAAGCATTCATAACGATATTTATCTTCATAATAATAAAATCAAAAACATGTCTGGTTCAAATGATGATAGTCTTCCAGCTGCAGGTATGTTTAAATTCAAAATTTTTTTTTAATTAAAACATTGGTTAGATTATGTTTTGATTGTATAACATTTAAGTTATTACTTCCTTTCGGTATATATTTTGCATCTTTTTCCATAAGATTTGTTTTTAATAATTGATCTTCGTTTGCAAAATAGTTAAGAAAATTTTTGTCTCCTCTTGGACTTAATCGTATTGAAGTTTGTTTTTCATTATTCATATTTTGCCGCATCGCTTCACGCTTTCGTGTTCGATAATGTTGTAAATTTGCCTAAGAAAACAAAAAAATAAAATAATTTCATATTTATTACTAATATTTCTTATGAGGTCGTGAAATTATTTCAACACAGACTAAGAGGATTTTTTTTTGATTATACTCGAATTGTGTCATAAATTGAAATAAGTATTTTCTTTTTTTTGCCGAAGAACAGATTGACACGAAGTCTATTAAGAGAATTGTTTTATAACTGTCGATGGAAACACGATAGAGAGATGCATCGAATCATATATTACAAGTTTCTTCAACTTGGTTTTTTGTAAAGTTTTCTATTATCAGGTGTGCATCCGAACCGGCAATGAAAGATATAGAAAAATAGACAATCTTGTGATCTTTAGACTTAGTTTTTCAGGAGTCTGATAGGTATGCTAGAGAAACTGTAGGCCGATTTTTACAACTATTGCTAAAAAGAATCATAATTTGGCTTTTCTTATGTTCAAAGAAATCAATTTTTCGACAAATTTTCAACATAAATTTGATTAAAAAAAAAGCTTTGCCAAACATCGTAGAAGAATCTACAGTATAGGATTGAGTGTGACTACATCTCATGTTTGCAATGGTGAAAACTGCCGTTCTATATCTCGTCTCTATCAATAGTTATAGAACATGCCGATCAGCATTTTATTTTGAAATGACCAGTTGATCAGTAATTTATTCAATATATAAAAGACACTTCATACGATATCTATCATCGAGAGAAATTCTTGGAGGAGGATCAGTACTATGCCAATAATTTCGAACAAAGTTCTAATGCTGATAGAATATATGAAGTTCATAGTAATGTTAATCTTATGTTTTTTTATTTAGAAAAGAAAATTTTATCTTAAATAATCATTCATTGTGCATATTTCTTAGAAAGAACTAAAGCTTTGACTTGAATTGGGTCAGTTCAGTCCTGAAATTTATTAGTAGATACATCAACTACATTAGCTGCTTCTTGTGGTTGATTCAATGCGTATTAATGACATAACATAATCCTTAGTTGAGAAACGCCATGCAATCTCTTCTACATTTAAAAAAACTTCCTGGATTAACCACAGAGTCCTGCACGAAGTTAACTAACTATTTTTGCTGAAAGTTCATATGAAGTTTTTTAAATAGTAGACTTTACTCTCTAATAGTTTCTCTATAAACTGATGCATTTTGTAAATTTTCCAGAACGTCTAATACTTGTATTCGGGCACGAAACAGTCGTAGTCAAATTCAACTACGACTTTCTTTTCATGTTCAAAGGTATTGATAAGACGTTCTTAGAATCTCTACAATGCTAACAGTTGTAACGTGAATACTAGAGAAGAAAACCCACTGTTGATATGTTAAAACTAAATTATCATCTCAAAAATTTAGTTGATTCTATGCAGGGAACTTGTGATGAATGAAGTTCGATAAAAAATATAATTAATTTTTTTATCGAATTCACATAAACAATGACGTACAATATTTGTTATATTATCTTTTAATTGAAATAATTTGGCGTAATAATTATTCTTAAATTGAACTAATGGTTGTGAACATTTAAATTGTGAATTGATAAGTGTAAGAAAATTATTTTCATCATTTAATAATGAATATCGATTTGTTATAAACCAGAATTTTCCATTTTCACTTATACGACTTGCATAACGTGTTATTGTTTTATTAATTTCATTTTGATTATTAACAAATGCAACAAGGAATTGATCACCAGCTTGAAAATTGTCTGAATCGACAAGAAATTCTTTTGAAATATTTTCAACAATTTGTTTAAATTCATTTGGTGTACGAAGAAAAACAATTGTTGGACTTAATTCTTTATCGTTACCAAATGGATAATCAAGTTTAATAAGAAAATCACGACCTTCCTTATTTATTTGACTTTTTTTAACTTGATTCATCATAAATAAAACAGACAGACAGACAAATATTCGATAAAATAAATGAAGGCGCGCGCGCGTGTGTGTAGGGTCGTCTTAAATAACACTACTACGTCTCTGTTGAGCTTGTGGTGAAAGTGCTAAAGCCATATGAATATCTTTTTCTTCCATCATATCATGAATTCCTTGTCGTCCAATAGTAAATCTTGTTCCAATCCATTTTTGATTTGATATTTTAATTGTTGGTCGTACTTCATAATATTGAGCATTTGTTAATGGTTCCCATATAGATGGAATTTTTTCTTTTGTACGTGGATGATATTTATCTGTAACTAAAATCCATATTGTTGGATTTTCCGATGATGTATATGTTGTTAGATGACTAACTTTTGTTGACAAATCTTTTGGATTAGATAAAAATAGAAAGACAAGTTTAGCAGCTGGTTCATCTTCAATTTTTGATGTTATTTCAATATTTAAAATATTTTCTTCTTGAGCAAGAATATTAAAGGAAGTTTTTAATTGATTAAAACCATTTTCACCAGCAGGATAATCAAGTATATGAATTTTTTGACTTGGCATATGACGAATATCAAGATCGAATGTTGAAAGAAATTGACGTGCAATTATAGAATTTTCTTTTTTTTCATATGAATTTCCATCATTCCAACGAAAATATATCGACATTTGATTGTTTATATAAAATGAGGACAAAACAATTATGTATATTATCTTAAGCGCCTATTTTATAATTTAGTAGGAAGATTTTTTGATTATCACTGAATATATTCAATAATATTAATTTTTTTTTAGTTAATTATATCATACTTCCCTTTTTTCGTAGATTAGGTCGAACAGTGCAGCTGGAGAATTCCATGAGAGTTCCTGTTCGACTGTAAAATGAGTTCTCAAGCAAGGCGATGTTCATCTGAGGAATATGAGAGAGTAATAGAAAAATCGAGAATGGTTTAATTTTCCAGGCCTTCGTTCTAGAGATATCGAAATCGAACTAAGTTTTGCAACAAAAAGTAGTAGTCTCACTTGGATGACATGGAAAATTTAGTTGCGATTTGAACCTTAGCACTAACAAAATTCTCACGAAGATTAGTTGATTGTGCAGTCATGACTGTTCTATTATTTCCTGTCTGAAACTGTAAATATTTAATAAAAGTTTGATTTTACGCATGAGAGAATATCGAATATTCACTATATCAGAATAACAGATACTAGAGAACCTTTAACTTGTACAATTATCTCATCTCCTTGAAAACTCAGTTCTTGAAAAGTTTGAAATCGACAGTCGAGTTGCCATGTAATCTAAGAGAAGGTACAGTTTATATACAAAAAAATCTCGTGAAATTTGTATATGTCAAGAATGCGATGGCGTAGGGGTACTCATAAAAGAAACCTGGTTTTGACCGAGAAGCGATTCCACACTTAGATAGGTTTCCTAGTAGGTATCTATTCTTGCATTGGTCAGTTTAGTCTTCCTTGACAAGGATTTTAAACTTTCTCTGTGTTACGTCGTCCGTTGAATAGATCGATGCGTTTTTGAAAATAAAGCGGAAATAGATCTTTTAGTATTATTGAATTAATATGAATTTTCCTTCAAATACTCTCATTTTGTTACGAATAGGAAAGTTGTTGATTAAGAGCAATTTCGAAATGAAAAATAATTCTCATTTAAAATTTACATTTTTTGTTTAGAAGAACAATTAAGTGAGGAAGAAAATGAAATCTTAGGTGATGATCGATCGGATATGGTCAGTGAAGAATCTGGTGAAGATTTATTTGGTGATAATTTCGAACGGTAAAATCTGAATAGAACTTTTTTTTGTAATCAATAAAATTGTTAATTTTCAAAAAAATTAAATAGAGATTATGAAGCTATTAATGAATTAGATCGATATGAAGCAGGTGGAATAGACGATGATGAAGAAAATGATAGAGAACTTACTGTTGAACAACGTCAACGAGCTGAACGAGAAATAAAACGACGTGAACGTGAAAGACGTCGTCGTCTTGGTCAAGAAATAAATGATGAAAGTGATCTTGATGAAGATGATAGTAGTCTTATTGGTTTAGCTGGAAAAGCAAAACGTTCAAAAAAGCATGATGATGAAATTGGCATGGATGATGAATCTGATGCTTATATTAAAAATCTAGGTGATACACAAGGTCATAAAATAGCTGATTGGGTACAAATGCCTGGTCCACATAATGAAGTAATTCGACATTTAAAAAAATTTTTACGTACATTTAAAATAACAACAACAACTGTTGGTGGAACAAATAAACCAGTTTATCGTGAATCATTACGTCGTCTTGTACAAGAACAAAAACAATCAATTATTATTGATTTTGAACATTTAATGTCGATGGATGAAGTATTAGCATTTTTTTTACTTGGTGCACCTGAACAAACATTAAAAATTTTTCATGAAGCTTTAACTGAATTATGTTTTGAACTTTATCCAAATCATCGATCAATTGAAAAAGAATTATTTGTACGTGTTAGTAATTGTCTTCAAAATGATAATATTAGAGATTTAAGGTAAAGAAAATAATAAGAAAAAAAATTTTTTTTTTTTTTTTTTTCAATGCGAAATTTTTAGAGTGGAACATTTAAATAAATTAATTGGTATAAGTGGAGTCGTAACAACATCAACAGGTGTTTTGCCACAATTAAGTATCATTAAATTTAATTGTCATAAATGTGGTTTTACACTTGGACCATTTACACAAAATCAAGAAAATGAAATTAAACCAGGTTCATGTCCAGAATGTCAATCTAATGGACCATTTGAACTTAATATGGAAGAAGTATTTATTTATTGATTCATTGTCAAAAGAGATAAATCAAATTTAACTTTTGTTTTTAGACCATTTATCGAAATTATCAACGAATATCAATTCAAGAAAGTCCTGGTACTGTTCCGCCAGGTCGTATTCCACGTTCAAAAGAAATTCTTTTACTTGGTGATCTTTGTGATGCATGTCGACCAGGAGATGAAATTGTATGTTAAAAAAATTTTTATTTTTTTAAATATTTTTTTCTGTCATTAGGAAGTACTTGGTGTCTATCGCAATACATATAATATTTCATTGAATATACAAAATAATTTACCAGTATTTGCAACAATTGTTGAAGCTAATTATATATCAACACGTGAAGATAAAATTTCATTTGAAACTTTAACTGATGAAGATATTCAAGAAATTCAACGTTTATCAAAAGATCCAAAAATTTCTCAACGAGTAAATAAATACTTTTCTTTTGTTCTATTTTTTTTTTTTTGTTTTCTGTTTTTAGATTTATGCAAGTATTGCACCATCTATTTATGGTCATGAAATGGTTAAAAAATCAATTGCATTTGCTATGTTTGGTGGTGAACCAAAAAATCCCGGTATGTCTCAGAAGTTGAATTAAAAGATAATCTTATCCTGAGTATAGCAAAAGTTTTGCGCGTAACTCTGTTCAAAAAAAACATAAAATGTTGAGTTTGTTTTTTTGAAAAGATGCGCCACTGTATTCTCTATTCGAATTAAGAAAAGAAATCTTTATAGGTATTTTCGAAATTTTCTTAGACTTTTGACACTTAGAAAAGTGTATTGTCGAGTTGTTTTCTTCGAGAAAAAAAAAGAGAGCTGCGAATTTGTAGAATTTTGACATCAGTAATTATTGTTCACTCATTTTGGCTGTAATGTTTGGAATCAATAAAAGACTTAATCAGTAGAATATTGAATGGCACATTTTTTTGAAAAAAAGATTCGTTCGTGAACAGACTTACGTATGAAATAAAAACTGTCGCAAAACTTTTATCACATCCGATATTATTTTTATAAAAATAACATGAAGAATGTATCAGTGAAGAACATATTTAATGAGATCAAAGAAAAAAACATTATACCGCTATATAGTCTAATAATGATTTTATTCAATTAAAAAGTAATTTATAGTGTATTATTCGACAGGTACTAATACCAATTAATATTCGATAATAGTGTTAAAGAATAGTTTTATTTTATTCTCTCCGCTATTGGTTTCACGAGTAGTACAATATGAATATCGTATACCGTGTTTTGGCGGATTCGAACGTACACACTTCGTTATGTTGATGTCTAGAACGAACGAATTAAAAGGTTTATTTTTCTTCTACTATAGGTGGTAAACATCAAGTTCGTGGTGACATAAATATACTATTATGTGGTGATCCATCAACAGCTAAATCTCAATTTTTAAAATATATTGAAAAAACAGCACATCGAGCCGTATTTACAACTGGAAGAGGTGCATCAGCTGTTGGTTTAACAGCTTATGTGCAACGGAATGCAGTTACAAGAGAATGGACACTTGAGGCTGGTGCACTTGTACTTGTAAGTTTAGATTTATGAATTTGATTTATTTTTCTATTTTAAAAATATAATTTTATTTTAGGCTGATCGAGGTGTTTGTTTAATTGATGAATTCGATAAAGTAATTTTTTTTTTCTTCGTTTAATAAAAATAAAAAAATAAAAAATTTCTTTTTGTTCTATTGTTAGATGTCTGATCAAGATCGTACATCAATCCATGAAGCTATGGAACAGCAAAGTATTTCAATATCAAAAGCGGGTATTGTAACAACTCTTCAAGCACGTTGTTCAGTTATTGCTGCAGCAAACCCAGTTGGTGGAAGATATGATCCAGCATTAACATTTATGAATAATGTTGATTTATCTGAACCAATTTTAACACGTTTTGATATCTTATGTACTGTACGTGATATTGCTGATCCTGTTCAAGTAAGTTTCTTTTCTCGTTTCTTTATAAATAGAATTTATAATAAATTTTAATTTAGGATGAATTAATGGCTCGTTTCGTAACAGAAAGTCATATGCGTCATCATCCATTAGCTGATGACAATGATGTACAACAAAATCATGTAAAATATGCTATTTATTTTTGGTTTCATATTATTGAATTTTTTTTTTGGTTGTTAGGTCGTTCCTAATATATTCAATGTTGAACCAATACCACAAGAAGTCTTTAAGAAATATATAATTTATGCTAAAAGACGTATTCATCCACGTATGACATCAGTTGATCAAGAAAAAGTAGCTCAATTATATGCAAAATTACGACGTGAATCATTGGTAACTGGTAGTGTACCAGTAACAGTTCGACAAATTGAATCAATAGTTCGTATTGCTGAAGCACATGCACGAATGCATTTACGTGATTTTGTTAATGACGATGATATTAATGTGGCTATTCAAGTTGTACTTCAAAGTTTTATTGACGCACAAAAATATGGTATTATGCGAACAATGAAAAAAGTATGCTTCTTTAGAAAGAAAAAGAAAAAAAAAAAATGTTTTCTTAATTTTAGGTATTTCAACGTTATTTAACATATAAAAAAGATAATAATGAATTTTTGTTATTCTTATTAAAACAATTATTTCAAGAAAATTTAGCATTTCAACGAAATCGTTATGGTGCTGATCGTGTTGCATCAGCTGGAACAGCAATTAAAATTTCCGAAGAAGATTTGAAGAGTCGAGTATGTTTTTTTTTTTCTTTTGAAGATTTTCATATCTGTTCCTTTTATTATTCCAGGCTCGTCAATATAGTGTATTAGATTTGAAACAATTCTATGAATCACCATTGTTTCGTTCGCATGGATTTAAATATGAAGATAAATTCAT